CCATCCATCCATCCATCCATCCATCCATCCATCCATCCATCCATCCATCCATCCATCCATCCATCCATCCATCCATCCATCCATCCATTCGCTTCCACGTATCCTATCTATACATTTCTTTAGATCCACAAAGACACAGTGAAGCACAAAAAGGCACCTGTGCTTTTTTGTGGCATGAAGCCACACTGCTGCTCACCGATGATCACTTCTCCTCTTAACCTAGCTTCAGCAACTCTCCTAAGTGATCAACTTTATCCCTGTGTAGTTACAACAGATCCTCTCATCCCATTTATTTTGAGAACTGGTACACTTCTTTTCCTATTTTCCTCTCACTCGCCAATATTGTCTCAAAAAACCTGGTTAAAAAGTCCATTGGGCCAATGCTCAGCTTTTATTCCTCTAGAGCAACAATGTCAGCTGAGTTATTCAGTAACATTTAAAATGCGTGAACTACTCAACTGCTACTGAATGATTAAAATCGTATGGTGAGGATAACTAAAACACAGAAAAATGATCCTGATTTTTGTTACCTTGTGGTATTTTTGCTCCTGATTGAATGCCATGAGGATCACCGAGAGCAGGAGATTGAGCACCACGAATGTCACAAAAACTATACAGGAACCAATGAGTAACCCACCAAGCACAGGATTGCTGGCCAGGACCTAGAAGATAGTGCCTCAGTTAGATTTTATTACCACTTTGAAACTAACTGACCAAATTGGAAATGACAGAAAAAGAAAAATGTTGACTTAATGTGTGCAAATCCTGAGACGACCATTCTCACCTCATCATAGTTAAAGATGCCTATCTGCAAACCGATGAGAGTCATGAGAGCATCCATGAAAGTTTTATAAGAGGATAGGTTCCAGCCATAAATCGCGTTACACTAAAGGAGAGAAATTACCATTAGATCAGCAGAAGGACCGCTGAGATCATTCCTGCCCATCATGGATTTCAATTTCCATTAAATAATCTCGGCGATAATGGAGTGAGGTTACTTGATTGGTATTTCACGCACCGTTTAAAGCATAATGACACTGTACTATAACAGAATGAATTAGTTTAAATTTACGAATGTAATGAACACCACCTGCCCCGGCTCTCCAGTCAACGCTCATCACTATTCAAGTCCTCTAATGCACACAGTGGAAAAGATTAGCATCAGCTGTCCTTTCGTTTTGGACTTTTATGTAATATATCAAACTACTGGATGGTTTTAATTTAAATTATATTGATTAGAGCAGCGGTCCCTAACCTTTTTTGCGCCACGGACCGGTTTATGCCCGACAATATTTTCACAGACCGGCCTTTAAGGTGTCGCAGATAAATACAACAAAATAAAACTAGTACCGGTACCGAAAAAAAGAAGATTTATTCATAACACACGTGAAAAGACCCAGGAAAACCAAGTTAACGATAAAAACGATAACAAAATAACGCTGAAAACCGATAAAAACCCCGAAAACCATACATTTTACACCTGAGCCTCAACTCTCGCGGCCCGGTACCAAATGACTCTCGGACCGGTACCGGTCCGAGGCCAGGGGGTTGGGGACCGCTGGATTAGACAAAGTCAGATTTTTCAGTGTTTCCAAAAAGTTGAGTTCTTGACTTTTAAAACATTGTTTATTTTTCTAAAAAGTGTATTTTCTCAAATTATTAAGATAAATTAATCTTTTTAATTAATTTTTAGAATAGATATATTTTTTAAATCTTTGTATTAAAGGCTTTAGAGAACATTTTTTTGCTTTGACTGAGCAGCACCGTTAAATCTGAGAGAAGTTCTCTTTTCAAGTTCTCCAAAGTGTTATAGTTTTCTCCTCAGATACAAGGTTTTGAACAAGCATTCCCCATCATATCTTAAAGACCTCAGAGTACTCTTCAGTGGAACCAGCTTACAGTTTGGATTCAGGAGACAGACACAGTCTCTACTTTTAAGATTAGGCTGTAATTAATAACCCTCCCGACCGCCACCAAAAAGCGTTCTGTTCTTGTCCATGTAAATACAAAATTATTTATGTGCGAGGAGTCAAGATTTGGTCAAAGGAACCAGATACTTACTGCAATGGAATAAGCCAGCAACATGATCACAATGATCAGAAGAAGACCGCTTATGCTGGTCCAGGCTCGCTGCAGTGCAGCTGTGATCATGTTCATCTTTGGGTTAAGTCTAAGCAGGTGCCACAGTTTGACAGTGGCGAGCAGGACCAGGAAAGCCATCAGATACTGAAAAAGGGATTCTGATGTGCCTGTCTGGTAAAAACTGACAAACCTATAAAAACAGGAAAGATGTGGAGTAAAAAAACAACCCACCAAATAACACCAAGCATGGGAGAGGCATGTTTTTGCAGTTAAACAGCTAAAATTAAAGCAAAGTTTTACGTTAATCTCACTTGTCGTTGTGGTTTTGGTAGTATGCTATATCACGGTTCGTGATCAGAGTCCTCTGGATAAAGGCGGCCACGGCACTCCAGCTCAGCAGGATGATAGAAAGCTCCAGAAGGTTCCATTTGTTCTTGAAGTAAAGCCAGCGCTGCTGCTTCATTAATTTCCCCTTTCCAGGAAAAGAAGTGAGAGCAACAGCTCTTATGTAATCCAGCAGGGGGTTGTCTGCATGCTCATGCATTTGTTGAGGTTTTAGCAGGAACACCACCAAACATATGTTGACAATTTGCACAAATAAAAGTGCTGATTTGTCCCATGATGTCCAAATGCATGTGAAAATAATCTGATCATATTTAATGAAAGTCTCAGTGCTCACATAAGAGGTTTTTAAGTATAAGCATTTACTGTATACTGTTTATCTAACCCTAAAAATCTTTATGAGAGAGCAATACAAAGATAGATAAAAATAGCACATTTATGGATATTTAGGCTTCTTAATAATTGAGATTATATGTTGTCTAAAGCTCTTACTGTAGTTAATTTAACATGCAGTCTTTGGGACTTCCAGGTGAATTTCAGAGGGGGTGTAGCTACATGACATCTTGACAGATACAGTAAAATAAGCTGTGTGCTTATGTCACCATAATAATCTTAAGGGACTGCAACAAAGGGCACACAATAGGAGCTTATTGGCTCAGAAATTACAGTTAATGGTCGACACCCACGATCACAATGAGCCTGAATGAAGTGAAACGACGTGATTAACATGTGACTCAGTGATGCACTAAAAAGCAAAAGGATTATTACGAATGACAAATAAGATTAATGCTATTATATCAGCATCAACTTTGTAATTTCCTCGTAATTACAGTACAGTAGAGCTGCACAGCATTTGACATGCTCTGATTTAGCTGCTAATTGCTTCTGGATTAACAGGCAGTAACGACTTAATAAAAAATGATTAATAGAAACATGCAGAGTGGCTTCATTGACTGTTCAGCCTCACGACACTCGTAGTTAATCCACGTTAGACTAATTCTTGCCGGTCACAGTAACAAACAGTAACTGCTCACTCTCAGGAAAATAATGGTCAGGAAACCAAAAAGTGATGATGATGCCAGTCTAAGTTTGTTTAAACCTCATTGGCTAAATGAAGTTAGTCTATTTAACTGGATACATAGAAAACAATATTTGGAACTAGATTCCATTATGTATTAATAATGTTTGTATTTACCTGATTGAACATGTAATAGAGGATGAAAAGCATATAAATGATCTCAGCGGTCATAATGCAGATGTGGAGGCCGTCACCTGGCAGGTAGAGATGAACACTCTGCATTTCACTGTTTAACTGAAAGGCTCCTGCAAAGTCAGAGAGAAGACTTCACTTACATGCGTACAGCTTAATGTGATCTCAATCATAGGCTGTCGGAGTTCTCAGTATGAAGGTGTAAAAAGGGAATAAATGTAGATTGCAGTTACATATGAAAACTAATAAAGTCTGATGTGTTATCCATTCTATAGAGTCTTCTCTAGCGAAGCTTTAAATGCATTACAGTTCTCCTTACCTACAGCAGGGGACTCCAGCAAAAGCGTGACAATGCAGAGGAGATTCACATTTGCATTATAAACAGTGAACTCAACAAAGATGGCCCGCGTGTAAACATCGAACCACATATTGTTGAACAGATAGTCGAGGGTGCTGTGGATAAATATTAAAGAATTAATGTTGTTAATATATTCCATATGTTCATTTTAAAACCAACCAAGAAGACTATTAACTCTCAGACAACACAGCATCTTGGGTATTCTTTCGATTTTTCTTAAGGTACAGACCTGGTTGCAGTTTGTAAATCTGGGCCGAGCTCCACTGAAAAGCCTCCCCCTCTGTAGAGCGCCAATTCTCCCCAGACGGGGTAAGCTCTGAGTTGAGAGTGTGTCTGGTACGTCCAGGGACTGGAAATGCTTGCAGAGGTGTTATTTCCAACAGACGTGTTCCAGCCAGGTCCGTAGGAGCCCATGTCCTCCGCTTCCCATGAATATGGAGCGCTACAGCCTGGCACCATCTTTAGCATGGGGCCTGCAATCTGACACGAGTTCTTCTTCACTCTCAGTTGACGAAGACGTGCATTTCCCAGAAGCTTCGAGTTTCCATCAGTGATGAATCCTGGAACACAGTATTTTACATTTCATTCTTATTGTCATTTATTTTTCATTTGAGTAGGCTACGGCCTTTTTAGGTCGTACCTACACGCACCTGCCCAGCTGCAAAGATCATCGCAGTTCAGGATGAGAAACCTTTGTGTAGCATGTATATATTTATAGATTTAGCTAAAAGGTTCAAGTCAAAGCACTCTAACATACGCTGGGAAAACTGTCATGTGTCTTGTGTTGACAAGATTAAAAAAAAAAACTAGACCTCTGACCTTCACCTCAAGATCTGAATATGTGTAATCCTTTTAGTTGATGCACCTATTTGAAAGTCTTAGCTTATCTTGTTCTCAAGTTATCGTGTTTACAAAGTCGGGTGTCTACTCTGCCTGCCCGACCACCTGGCAGGGTGACAGCAGTACTCCACCGACCTTTAACGGCTGAGGGGTAAAAGGGCACACGTAAAAAAGAGGCGGGAAATATAGAATAATAGATAATAATAATCTGTACTTCCTGCACCAAAGTTCAGATTTGATATCACTGCAATCTCAGTGAAGACTTAAGGCACAATATTTAAAATAATACACAGATATTAATGAAATGACACTTGACACAAAACAGTTGCTTTGACATAAAGCTGGATTAATCTGTTCATGTGTTCTGCTTTAATAAACAAAAAAGTCTTCTAAAACTTTTATGAGATAACAAAACAAACCATCGAATCGAACCTTGAACTAATTCACCTGTTCGTGTAGATATGGTTATATCCCTTCTGTATGTTCTGCTATTGGAACGTTCTAAAAAAGGTTCAACACTAGGGATGGGTATTGATAAGATTTTCACGATTCCGATTCCATTTTCGATTCTGTTTAACGATTCGATTCTTTATAGATTCTCTTATCGATTCTCTTTAAAAAAAGGAGAACACTAAGGTCGATTAGCTTAGAAGTTTGTTTTATATCTTCTCTTTGAACAAGATAGAAATTTAGGAGTAACATGGCCTTACAAACACCAACAGTGAGATCTTAAGAGATCCACAGCCTACGGCTCTTTAATGGGGTGTCACAGGGTCCCCAGGAAAAAAATTGTAAATGTAAAACAATAAAATAAACATTCTTCTGTAGCAATAACAAAGTATAACATCAATTATTCTGTAGCAATTACACAAGAATATCCAGTAATGTCCCTGCCTACAATTAAACACATTCACTTACCGAAAATCGGGGCATCTGCTGTGGCAAATGGGTGCAAGCCTTTTACCACAAACTTAGTCACTGCTCGGTGACATTCGTCTATCCTGGCCTGAAAGGAGACGCTACCGGTAGACTGCAGCGAGAACTGCCAGCATCTGAGCCAGACTCTGTCTCTCTCATCATGGTCACCTAAATGCACAGTAATGGCAGGTTTTGTAATAAGGCAGATCGCGCTAACATAATATGCACTGTTAGTTGATTATTTACCTGCCGCATTAACGGGAGAGGACGTGCAAACGTTACCGCTGCTGCTGGGTTGAGATTCACGAGTCCGGAGCGGAATTAAAAACACGACATTCATTTAAGGTCATCGCGTGTTTTGTGAGCAAATGCTTTTGCATATTCGTAGTGTTTCCTCCCTTAAATGAAATATCTACTTTGCAAGTATTGCAAGTTGCCCTGTTGTCATCCGTTCTCGTAAAGTATAACCAAACTTTTGAGCGTTTGAGCCGCTTAGGCGCCGTGTTTCCTGCCAGGTAAATGACGCTCCGCAACGTGGTGACGTCATTCGGGGCGACTGGAATCGATAAGGGAATCGTTTGCAAAAATGGCAAACAACTCCAAGGAATTGAAACAGTGGGAACCGGTTCTCAACAAGAACCGGTTTTCGATACCCATCCCTATTCAACACTAACCCTTAAAAGTAAGAACACAACTAAACAGTGAAGCAGAATAAACAACTTCAGGTCAGAAATCATGACTCCTTGTTGAAAGTCATCAAATTGCTTTCCACTTCCACTCTGATAACATCCTTGTATGGACTTTTGTTGCTCTTTGCAAAACCATTTCTCCCATAGTCCTTTGATAACAGTCTACTGAGCCTGCCGATTAGAGGAGGTGGCCAGTAACTGGCAACGTCTACAACAGAGATAAAAGCGAAGCCCTGTCCTGTTTGACTGTCCTTTTTGTAACAAATATTTACCTGGATATTGTCCAAAGAGGTTACTGAGTAGAGATGTCTTGGCCCAGTTGAATACATCTTGAATTGCCATGGTGGCTGGTGCGTTTCCACAGAAGCTTTGTTTAATGTGTGTGTTTAGGTAAAAAGCATTTGGATCTCTCTGGCCATGTGCCACCAGCAGCAGCATCCACAGGAACCCCATGTAGACTGAAACATACAGGGGGATTAATTCAAACCCAGCATTAATTTCAGGTCAGACTTACAACATCCCTGGAAGATAAGTTGTAGTCAAATTTTTTTTTTCTGCAGTTCTTGTCCTTGATGAAGATTTCCTTCAATTTGTTTTAATCAGGTTAATTCGCAGTTCTTTGTGTGTCTACTTACTCAGTATCTCCTTGATTAGAGCAAAGGCTTTCTGTTCCAGCATCCTGTTCCTCCTCATTTTTTCTACGTCTGCCAGAGGCGGCGGCTCATAAACACTGCCATAGCGCACAAACATTTGTTCACCTGTGGATGAAGTTTGTTGCCAAAGAAATGTTCAGTATTTAAACAAAAGAGGAAGAAAGTATGCTTTCTAGAGTTTTACTTGATATTTTACCGATATTTCTGTGGTTTCTTTCAAATTGAACATTTTGAAAATCTTCCTCGTCGACTTTTTTAATCACAAGAGCAAAGAAGATTGCAAAACAAAGCACCTGTTTTGAGAGGCATGAATAAATACAGTGGTTTATTTCGAGTAAATATTTAAATTTACAAAAAATTATCTATATTAGAAACGTTAAATTATAAGAAAATTGTGTAACTGAAATTTTAACTGTGCAGGAAATCTTAAGGGTATGTATATAACAGACAAATGTTCTTCTCACCTTCAGCGGCTGAATAAGGAGGACACTCTGAAAGAAGGAAATAACCATGGATACCAACCAACTTATGGAGCGCGGTTTTCCAAATTTCAAGCCATACAGCATTGTGAAATAGCCTGATACGACACTGGTTGCGATCACCAGCAGCCAGCCAAAAAAAATAAACCACCAGGGTAGACCTCCGTGACAGCACGTCCTTTTTTTCTCACCGCCATCGCCATCAGTGCTGTCTGACGGACTGGCCCTGTAAACACGGAGCGACAGAACAGCAAGTAAAATTACATGTCCTTTCACCAATATGAACTTAAATAGCATTAACATGTAACTTTACAGAGCAACGAGTAAAAATGTTTTTGCAAAGTAATAGGCCATTATCCTAACATCGTGCATACATGTTTAAATCAGTACTGCTCTCCATATTATACTACTTTAGGGCCTTTACCATATAAAGCACCGTGAGGTGACTGCTTTTGTGTTTTCCTTCTATATAAATAAAACTGAACTGAAAAATTGAATTGAATATGCTCAATAATGCAGAGGTAGGAAGTACAACTATTTTGTTAGTCAAGTACTTGAGTATTTATGTTCAGCTGTTAACTTTTACTCTCTACATTTTTACCCAAATATTTATACTTTTCACTCCTCACATTTTCAAACCAGGCTCATTACTTTAGGTTTAAGACAACTGAGGGAAGTTTTTATTTCACAGCTGCCTTCAAACATCTGAGTGATCTGAGCCTAAATGGTGGGAACAGTAACACAGAAAAGTAATCCTACTGCTGTATCTATCACTGGGGCTTTACACATACAAAGAGATCAAAGAAGCAAAAGCTTTTGATAACTCATATTTTTTGCATCATTCATCATGCTATAGTCAGAGGTTAAAGTGGGCTGGAGCATTGCACAATTCCTGGCTGCAGGAGCGAGCATAAAGGGAAAAGAGGAAAACATAACAGGAAGAAGAGGTTCATGCTCAGAGTTAGGTTACATGAAATGTAGCAGAGATGAATTTGAATTTGAGCTGATGACACATAGATCCATCATCTGAAACTGATCGAGTAATAGCACAAAGTTCATTTAGCTTTGCATAAAAATACTTGATATAAATGTGCTTCAAAGAGCTACTTTTTACTTACTCACTTTGAGTACACTTCAGAGCCTGTATTTTCTTCATCTTTTACTTGAGTAAAGAAGTTGAGTCAGCTTTTTCTGGAGTGTACTTAATACTTTACTAGTATTTTTTAAGAACCTGTACTTGTACTTTGGCACTTTTCCCACCTCTGCAGATCAGCAATTAGACTTCAGTTGTTTTACTCAAAGAACACCCATTTTGATGATTCTCTCATAGATTTTATTGTTTATTTTTGAAGTTTTTTTAATAGCTTACTGTGCAGGATCATGCATATTTTGACTAGTGAAATTCTGTGCTCTAGCTTAACGTATTTTAATGATTGAATTGTGCTCTATTTTGATTTACTGTGAGTTTAAAAATGGTGTTTGTTGGTCCTTTTTCTCATATTGCTTTTGTAATTTCTTTGATAATTCTTACAGAACATTGCTGAGGTTTTGTTATTGCTTTGATATGTAGGGACGTCTGTCTTTTTAAAATACTTTGCACACAGGTGCTGGTTGAGTGCGAGCCAGGGTATTTAATCTAGGCTGTGCATGTGTCAGTCCCTGAGGAAGACTTGGAGTCGATAAACGTTGGTGTGTTTCGCTTGCTGAATTGTTGCAAGAACAAATTTGTTATATGATTTTATCCTCAGAGTGCCTCAACAACCCCCGTCTTTATGTTGAGTTTTAATTTTATCAATTAAAAGCGTTGCAGTGACTATAATAATTAAAACAAAGACATACAGCAGCTATAACTGCAGTTAATTCCTCCAAGATAAAATAAAATGTTCTAGATGGATGTGACATCTAACTGCACCAGCGCGGTCCTCTTATAGAGTGACTTTCATACGTTTTGTTGGTGGGTTCATCTGGAACGCCTCTGTTGGATGCGACGAGTTGATCTTCAAGCAACTCCTTCATGCTCTGGACTTGCTGCAGCGCCTGTTTGTAGCTGTGTGGATTCGGGAAGCCTGAGGGACCCAGCTGACTCAACTCACTGTCGATGCGACACAGTTGTCTGTACAGATACTGGCTTTTGTTTCTGTTCTTTTGAATCACCCCCTCTGCCGATGCTGGATAAGCGCTGCTATCTGAAAATGTACATATGTTATTACTTGGAAATCTCAAGGAAGCACATGATATGATGTGTTCAGAAAGCAAAAATTGCTTTGTTTGCAGAAATGTGATTGTTGGCAGCGTTTTCAAATTCTGTCTTTACTTGTTTCAAACAACCACTTTGTCATATAAGCAAGTATCTTCTGGATGATTTCAGAACTCTGCAGTGTCCGTCCTTTCAGGCAAATTTTCATCTTTTATGCCTCTTTGAATTAACAGCTGATTAAAAACAACGTCCATCAAATTTGTAGCACGCCACTTAAATTTACTTTGCATGTTATTCAAAAGCAAAAGAACAGACACCAAACTGTTTGTGAGACCTTCTGATATGTAAGTACTAATATACTGGGCTGGGTGAAGCAGAGAAAATGCTCTAGCACTTCAATTTGACCCTTACAGCGAGAGCTGTGATCATAAAGTTGTCTGACTACACTTGTGAAAAGTCCAAAGGTCGAGTTAGCTGATCTCCCCTCTAGTTTGTATCCAGAGGCACTCGAAGACATGAATCCTATTCTACGCACTCGTATGTGGTGCAGAGTTCACATGTAAAAAATTTGTGTCCAACTGACCCCGGCTTCAAACCAAAGTACTTCTCAGTAGACCTCACCCCAATGGCAGCATTGCTCGAGGAAGATGCAGCATTCACCATAAATTCATTTTCTAGGCTCAGACAGTCAGCGTGTTCTAAGGTAACATCCTAAAGAGCCATGAAACCGAGAAGATTTGCTGTACACCGCTTCAGTGTGGTGTGTGCTGATACTCAGTGGCACGCACCACAGTTGAAGAGGCAGGTGATTTTGGCCTCAGCAGCACAATCATTCATCAGCAGGCGCCAGATTTGGCTCCCTGCAACTTTGCTCTTGTTTTTAGAAAGCTACTTGCACTTCAATGGCCACTTGATCTCCTCCAGTGTGTCACGATGTCCGTGCTTCAACTTTAGTTTTGTTTTCTGAACAGTATAATGTTGAAACTGATATAGAAGTACCCAAGAATATGTTCTTAACAGGCAGGCCGCCCAAACTTAAATAAGATGGGGGTTTGGGGCAGTGTTGCAGCACTTTTGGTTGATCATGATCAATTATTAACACGAGAACTCACCTGATAGCTGAGGCTGTGTTTCTGTCTCGATATTTTCACTAGCTGTGTTATTCTGTGTGATTAAGTCTTTCAACACAGAAAGTATAGCATTGACATCATTTTCTTGTTCAGGCACAAACTTAATCTCCTTGCATGCGACATTGCTTTTCATAGTCTTAGAGAGCGAGTGGGCAATTCTTGTGATGTCCTAAGGGGAAGCACATTCAATACCGAATTTTGATACCAAATGAAGTGTATGCACATCAGAGAAATTCTTCTAAACCCACAAAACCATCAGTATTTGTAACACGTACAAAAAGGTTTGTCATAAGGCTTGGGTGCCAGTTTAGCAGCACCTTAATATTAAATGCAGAAACACAAAAACAGGAAACACCTACCTTAATGATAACATCTAAAGACACTCTGCTAGTCATGTCCGTTGTGGCAGAAGAATCTTGTGTGTTCTTTTTCTTTTTTTTGCGCTGGCAACAAGAAAACTCCCGAGGACGAGTGAATCTGAAAATACTGACTATGAGGATATTGACGGGAAACATGATGAGGGAACTCTGAACTCCAATCATGAACTGCTGCCAAGTAAACTCAAAACTTCCTGAAAATACAAATGGGAATTAGATTAATTAGATCTGGACTTTTTTACACTTTTTTAAAAGTAAATTTAATGGCAATACATTTTTGATGTACCTAGGTCCATTACTTGGTCAGAGGGATCTTTTGGGATCCCATAAAACATGATACTGGTTAACATGGTACAGAGCAGCAGAGAAAAACAGCAGGACACTCTCTGCACACGGGTGAAGTGGCTGCTCGGTGGTCGACTGATCACCGAAATCCAGAGGTGTCCGTCATTGAAATCCTTTGTTGTCTTTGTGAAGAACAAATTACTGAAAGATAAAAGCAACATTGTAAAAATCAAATGTTTTAAACCTTCATAAACAGCTAATTAGTGATGGATTAGCGTCACATTTTAATCTTTTTCTAATTCCTGTAAAACACTATTGTAGATCTGAAGCATTTGGAGGTTTTAGAGCCTAAAGAAAAGCGAATAATCCCCACTAAATCACCAGATCAGCGCTTAAACCAAATATTTAGCTACTCAACTGGGATGAGAAGAAAGTGGCAGCTTTTACTGGGTTTCATTTCGTCTTTGGAAATTCAGCTAAATTCAAATAAAACAATAAATTGTTCTGTAGTCACATTTTTTTTATTCTTTCAGCTGGTTCCCTTAGTCACCATGGTAGATCATCTGCCTCTATCTCACCCTATCCCCAGCTTCTTCTGTCACACCAACCCACTGTATGTCCTCTATCACATCATCCATGAATCTTCTCTGTGGTTTTCTTCTTTTTCTCCTGCTTGGCAGCTCAACATCCTCTGTCCAGTGTGTCCACTCTCCCTCCACCTTGCATTTTAATCATACCTGGGCCTAATAATTTCTTTCTGGTAGCCTTGTGAAAGTCCTCAAGCACTGGTAGATTTTTCAACGAGTTGAAAAGTAAATTCTGGCTGCTGCTTTGTGAAAGTGAATTTCATTTAAAAAAAAAAAATGATAGTTTACCCTACCTGCTGCAAACACAACATTATCCAAATGGAACTCCAAACCATGAATTCGATTGAATTTGCATTTGATCAGCACTCCCAATCTGGGTTTCATGTTCAGCCTCTAGACAGAGTGCTTGTACGTGTAATTCTGCTACCAAACGTACCACCAGGCTTTGGGCTTACCTGAACCTCTTTAGATCCATCTCTGTTGCAGCAGGAAATATTTTATCGAGGGAACAGTCATCAATGTCTACCGACAGCCAGGAATTACATAGAAAATGCCATTTCTCCTCTGTCTGTAAATCCTGCACCATGACATTGCCTACATACCTGAGAAAAGGCAAACAATGTAAATGCACGATGCAATCATGTGACCTCTGCTTTGCTCCACGTGACACCCACAAAAGTCAGTAGAAGACATATTACTTAAAATGACAGCTGAATTGCATTTAAAGACCATGTTTTCCTTAAAAAAGCAACAATAATTATCTTTAAGATCAGTGTATTTGGGACCGGATTCACTGTATTCACCTTAATGTCCAATCATTGTGGTGTTCTAGGTCAAACAGTATGTTTAATTACCATAAAAATACCATAATTGTCAAGATGCCTTTCTTTTGTGTGGTTGTGACATTTCTTTTTTTCCTACCAGGCAGAATGGCTTCCTGAATTGTTGTGCCATAGTCTGATGCCCTGCAGGTCTCCCAGGGAGAAGGGCGTGGTTAGCAGGAACATGTCCACTGCTCCCCTTTCAAACACACGTTTCTTTGAATCTGTCAAGTGGTGAGGCTCGCTGTGTCCTTCTGTACCCAGCAGAGTAACTGTCACCTAAAATAATCAATTTTGTGCATGAAAAGTATAAAACTGAAAACAACACCATTCTGATTCCATATATGAGAGCAATGGTAGCACCTTAGTACTGGTTTAAACTGTTTCTGGCAATATATTAGGGAAAACTTCAAATAGTAATAGAAATACGGACTTGATCAACTTTTGCCTGTTTCATACAGTTAGAATAACCACTGTAAAAATAACAATTAAGATTTCACTGTGTGTAAGTGTGAGAGTCTGCGTGCAGTGCATATGATACACACAGTGCTGTGCATGTATTTATATTTTGCTAGGAAACAGGTTACAGAATTTCATTAAACATGAGCTCGTAACATGCTAACAAGCTCGTAGGTCAGTGTTAACAGCAAGAAAAACATCCCCGACGTTAAGACACACAATGTTTTATCATTTACAAAACTGGTAAGATGTTAGCAACAAGTAGAAAAGAATTATGGTCTTTTACCAAAATACTTCTATACAGTCTGTTTTATTAGTTTCTTTACTTTCCATCCAGAGGAGTTGCCACCGGTTGGACATAAAAAAATGCATGTTTAAGCTCCACTCTCGTTAACTTTCTTCTTCTTCTATTCTATCTGATGAGATAGATATTAAAGCATGTGCCTTTTCTTTACTATGTAATTGCATACATCAGTCTGGGAATACAGAAAAGAAAAGACACAAACAATGTCCTTTTTCACATAAAGTTACTGAAAGAAAAAAAAAAATCACTGAAAAGTTAGTACAGACAGAAAATACGTGTGATGAGATGAGCAGCCTAAGTGATCAGTACAGAGCATGTGCTGAAACCCAAGTGCAAATCTGCCTGTAGCTTAGTGTTAGCAGAACATGCTAAAAAAAACACATATATTATTATCTTAGTTCTGGGACCTAATGTGTCGGCAGAAAGAGCAGGTGTACGAAGCCCACCACCTAACGAGAGCTGAGTATTCACAAGCCTATTTTAGAACTCGGCCTTGAGATGGAGCTGATGGAGCAACCCCAGAAGTCTTTGGTTATTGAGTGCTTCACGGTGTTTCACTGCCAGGGAAACATGAAGAGTTGCTGAATAGCGTATTGTGTGTTTGGGTAACACAGATGAAAAAGTTCTTGTTTGTGGTGAAGAGTGTTGATCAAGTTACTTGAAAATAGTAATTAGTTACTAATTACTGATTACTTCTCCAAGATGTAATCCTGTTACTTTACTGATCACTTGTTTTCAAAAGTAATTAGTTACTTTATTACTTAGTTTATAAAAACATGAGACACAACCTCAACACATAATAAAGCGAAAGACCTTTCAGCCCAGTTCTTTTTCTGCATAATCCATCATTATGTAAAATGTAATCAAATGAAAAAGTCTCTCTTTAAAACGTGTTTTATTAGCTTTAATCTTTTAACTTTAAGCATCAAGCAAAAATTAAATTATATGCAATATTCTCTGTGAAATGTGTTTCACATTCAAACTTATTTTCTGCATATTCCAGCTTATAAAATAAAATAATGTTTTGTGTTTGCACTCACTCTTTCAAATAAAATCTAAGACTCAGCGGCACTGAGTCCTGTGGCTCTTAAATCTATTTTCATCTATTTAGCAGGAGTGGGGCGGGTGGAGGTTTGCCCGGTGCCTCAGCAGTCATGTCAGTGGGAGGATCCGGGGATTTCTCTGTGAATTTTACATTCCCGTGGCGGTGTGCTCGGTGCTTGCTCAGATTTAATGTTAAATTTTTCGGACGTTGCACGCTCGTACGTCCTTGTCGTGAGACACGCTCACGAACAAAATCACGGTTTAGTAACGCAGTAACGCAGGGTGCTTATGGGAGAAGTAACAGTAATCTAATCACTTTTTTGGCAATAGTAATCCCTTACTTTTCTCGTTACTTGAAAAAAGTAATCGGATTACAGTAACGCTACTGCCCATCTCTGGTGGTGAAATTGTAAAAAGATGAGCTGCTGATAAGCAGACTGAAAACAGAGAACGTGCATCTCATGATGTTTCCACAAGTCTAAAGTAACTTTGCGAGAAGTATGACTTTCACTGAACACATGTACCTGAGAGGAAGTGGAGGCTCCTATACGATGCCCAGTACAGACACTCAACAGGTAGCGATACTCATCCATTGGATCATTGTCCTCCAGCTCTGTCACCTTTACCTGTTATTCAGCCAACAAGCAAAAATATTATATGGACATGAGATGGAGACGCTATTCCTAAATAGAAAAGCTGTTCACATATTAGTGTTCAACTATCTATCTAGAAACTATCTATCTATCCAGAGAGAGAGTTCATGTAAGAATATAGAAGATGCAGAGAGATACAAGTGTGTATTTTAGAAGTGGCTGAAATGACCTTAAGCTTCAAGGATCAAACAGATGAGAAGTGAGCTACAAAGTCTTTCTAGCTATTTTCTTTATTCTCTAACTCATACACCTCCAGGTTTTCACAACATCAAGCGTCCCCTGGAGCCTCAAACACAACTGTTTCCACAGAAAACACCTCAGACCAACTAACATATAAGTAGTTGTTGTGTTTTTTTTAAGATATATAATACTCCTAGGAAACAGACAAGCCTTTTGTTATTTTTAATCTGTTCTTCAGTCCACGAGAGATGCAATACCTTGACTGTGTCTTGAATATCTTTTCGTCTTGCCCACACGAGGACCAAGAGATATGCCAAAAAGAGTGCCACGACGAAGCACACAACCACAGGATTATCGGCAAAGGTTGCAAATAGCTCAGCAGTGCGTGACGGGTCGACAAGGTTGGGAGTGACAAAGAAGGAGTTCCCAAAGAAGGTGAGGTGGTTGCAGAGGCACTGGGTTTCTAAATGAGTGGTATTGGCACCAACCTTGAAAGACAACAGCTTATATTTCCATTATTGTTTAAGCAACGCCTCACTGTACGTGTAGCAGATTGAAATGTTGCACTTACTCTGCATCCAGATTTGCTCCAGTCCAGTAGTGATTTATTCCAAAATTGACATGAGGTTGTGATGGGCGTAATTGATAAACTGGCATTTATAGATTTTATACCTGGGCCCACTATGGGTCTCACAACAAGATAATGCACTCCAGTGTTGCCCTTTAAATCCTCAGGGTGCAGGAGCCATGTGTATTTCTCCTCTGTGCAGGCACACGAGACACAGTCAAATCTCATTCAGTCACATTAGAAGTGGAAAAAATCTTGTCACCACAATTAAGCAAAGGCATTTCTTACCTTGTGTGGCTCCCTGCTGAGGCATCTCTGTTGCCGCTACATAATTTGTCTCAGTAGGGTAGTCATTATAACCAAGGAGGACTTTGAAGGGTAAAGGAACCTTTGAAGGCATCATCTTTAAAAGGTTGGACATGCAAGACAAAATCTTATGAATGCGCAATCTAAAATAAAATCATGAATTTCCTTCATGAAAGAATAAAGAATATAATTAGTAAAACTATGATTGGCTGCAGTCATCATAGTGCTACAGTGTAGCAAAGATATGAAGTTTTAGGGAGGGTAACAGCGTGGCTCTACATATTTGACATGACAATCTGTCAGCGGTTAATCACTATGACATTAATTTACATCAAATAAAGATTCTTCTGATGTAGGTGATGAAATGTGTCAGAAACTGGTACATATATTCGTGGTCTCCAGAAGATGACCTGCAATAGCTGATCTTTTAATGCAAAACTGCCATGTAAAAATTTTCTTTAGCCTCGTCTTGTAGCTACACTTTCTGCTAACAGTTAGCAATGTTAGCATGGTCACAGCAAAAGTCACGCTGAACAGAATGTAGCCTCTGTATGTAATGTAACCATAATATCACTGTCCACTAAGCATGTTTGCTTCTTCTAATTTCAGGAGTCGACATAAAAGAACAAGTCACTGAACCTTTAGAACCAGGGTAGAATTCGCTGAAGGAATATCAATAACCGTTGTGCTGAAGTTCCCCAAGTCCAGAATAGTGGTGTTCACTTGTTCTCCAGCAAACCGTGGAAACACGATCTGAAGTCAGATGTTAGAAAGCGGTTATCCACTGTTTCAAAATGTAGCCACTTTAACATATTTTAAACTTGTAAAATAGTTACATGCAAGTAACATATTAATCAGTACTACTACTACTATTAATTGTACTACTATTTAAAAGTAGTAATCCCTCCCCAGAATTACATCAGGCCTTTTTCTATTATATAATTTTTTTTGTCATTGAGTGAAAGTATTTGCATAAGTATTTAATCCTCAAGTAAAATATGACTTAGCACTTGGTGGAGAAATTGAAAGCAGTAAAATGTTTCTTGTAGGTGGTCACCACCTTCTCTCACATCTAGGGAGGGATTATAGCCCAGTCCCCTTTACAGAAACTCTCTGAACTCTCCAGGTTTCTTGGCTTCTTCTTGGTGACTCACAGTTTCAGCTCTCTCCCTAGATTATCAAGTTCTGGAGATTGGTTAGGCCACTCCATGACCTTATTGTGATTCTTTTTTAGCCAGTGTTTTAACCAGTTGTCACCTTCTCACCAAACGTCTTGCTGATGGTCTTGTAGTCCAGATGCAGATCTAAATCTTGTCTGTCTTTTGTCTCGGCCATTGTGGTGGACAGTTTGGAATGAGTGACATTGATTCTGTGGACAGGTGTGCTTTATGCACATAAGGAGTTTAGATGGGAAGTATCTATAACTGATTGATTGATCTGTGGGATCCAGAATTCTGGCTAGCTTTGGGGATCAAATATTTCTTTCTGTTATTCTTGTCATTAACTCATGAAACCCATACAACAACTACTACCTGATGGGTGTGTTATGGATTGATAGGAATTCTGGGCAACAGATTCACCATCTCCATTTCTGTCACAAAACTATTCTTAATATGCATTTCTCAAAAGTCCCCAGAAACAAGTCCTCTCAAAAGGAGATTGAAAACAGTAAGTGTGGATGCTGTAATGTTGCTACACTGACCTGAATATCCTTACTTAAGTTTTCCACAGGGATAACAGACCCTTCTTTTGTTGTGAGGGATAAATAACCTATGAATCTGCTGATGTCCCATCCCACCTTCCAACAAAATGGGTTTACATCTAAGTTCAGCATCTGAAAGTGTAATTCAAAGATCAGGTCAGACATTAGACGTTAGGATGATTGAGCAAAATTGATTTACACACATGTACATATCCACAGCACAAACACTCATAGGCACATGGGTATTGACGTACTCGCACATCCACTGGTTTGTCTGAAGGAAGTATGGTAGTGGGTAGTTGTGGGAGAGAAAATGTGATGCAGGTACAGTTGGTAATATTTACGGAGCCTGTGTACAAGACTGCTGGTAAAACTCTGTAAGAAAAGATCAGGAGATCTACATTAAACATGTGCTTCTCTTAAATATTAGTTTGCAAGTTTAACAGCTCTGGAATCAATAAACTATTAATATACAAAGTAAAATGTGTTTTCATTGCGACTTGGCTACTTGTAACCACGTTATGGTAGTTATGTTAACGACTGGAGGGGACATAAATGTGAACCACTGTCACTTCAAAGAGGCTCAGTAAGAGATCCTTTTACTATATAATGTTGTCAGCATAATAAGCCACTGTAAAAACAAAACTGGATTCAATCTGGATTGTCACAGATTCTGCCTTTACTGTAGTAAACGGATATTTTTAAGACATAGTCACTCCTCAGCGCTTTCATAGGTGCCACACAACATTGTTTTATGGAAAATGTGGAAAATGTGAATGTGGCACTTACAAATGTGGATTGCACAACATGGACATTATATTTCTTCATTTCCATTTAATACTTGTACAGCTGCTGTTATTGTGTAGATTTATATTTCTTCATACATTCTTATATATTTCTATACTGTGTATTGTGTATTTTGTTGTACAGTTATTCTATTTTCAACTTTAATTTATATATTTTATCTTATTCTTTCCCAGTTAAATTTACCCTTCATTCTAATTTGTGTTGTACAGTTATTTCATTTTTAACTTAAATTTTTATATTTTATTTTGTTTTGTTTTATTCCTTCCTAGTTAAATTTGCTCTTTTTAATTTTTATATTTATTTCCTATCATATTCATAGCTTTTTCATTTTCCTTTAGGTCACGAGCAGTTGTGTAAGCATTTCACTACATATCGTACTGTGTATGACTGTGTATGTGACAAATAAAATTTGAATTTGAATTTGAAACATCTGTATTTGCTGAATTTTCCATGTGGTTTATGCAGGTTTTCCTTTATTTTGTCACCCATCCGTAGACAGGTGGCTGTAGGCTTCAGCTTTTTAGTATATCAGCATCAGTGAGATTTTTCCAGTTCAAATTTCTGGGACATGTGGTTAATTTTTGTTTGATAACTTTGTCTTGCATTTGAAGTGAAACGTACCTTCTGACAAATACTTTAACGTGCGTTTTCCGAATTATGCTTGAGTCCTCATTGAGCTCCATAAAGACCAACATCGCACTCTGTATATTGTACAGGGCCCCAAGAAGGCCATCTGAGGTGATTTTCTGCAACACACAACATTTAGAATAAGAAATAAAACTGATTCTAAATACAAAAAGTTTTTTTTTGAAGAGACAGCAGATATTGCTGGGAAGTGATATTGATTTGCATATCTAACATTAAAAGCTACCACGATTCCCCAAAGAAATAAACACAATCAGTATCGGCCTCATAAGACTCACACTGGGACAATAGTCGAGCATGTTGCTTATGCCCTCCACAATAATGTTGGCTGTGGCAAAGACTTCAGTTGCGTTTAGATCCATACGGAGGAGAAATGAACTCAGGGTTGCGAACAATGATGCGGCCCTTTCCTGAAGGTGGAAATGAACTCACAGTCACAGACATGTATTTGGGAGGTGTTATGAAGATATTAACATTTGTGAATTGTCAAAAGCTTTAAAATGTGGTCCTCATATCCCACCTTTAATTTTAGTACAGGGCAGAAGCCCTGTACTAAAGCCCTGTCCACCAAACATTTACTTCCCATTAAGAAGGGAGCTACAGTGAAAGCAACATACATCAGTACGCATTGCAGAGAGATGTCTACAGTCCTTACTGATGGATTCCTCCTTTTTGAACTTCTCTACAGTACCTGTGCTGATGTATTGAGTTCAGTCCCTTTCTTGACGAGAGAAGCAAGTGCTGTGGCTAACACCTGAACGTCTTGTAGAGTTTTGTTGAGATTTTCATTTACTATAGCAATCAATATGTCCAGCATCTTCTGTTGAAGCTTCAGACACCAACAAAATAAATGCATAAAAAAGTGACATATTAGAATTTTACAGTAACAATGTTGTTCATTCAGATTCAAACATTTCCTGATTCACAGAGATGGTTTTTCCTTTCCATCCACCCTGTCTGATTAAGTTTGGAAATGAGACCTGTGTTTTCTTGAGAAGCTGTCAAAAAGATGTAAAATTACACACAGAAACTTCCTTTGAATGAATCAACTGTTGGGCGGCTCCTAAAGCATGCCCTATTAAAGGCCTGTACACACTGACTGCAATCTGAATACACAACAACAAAAGGAAGAAATGGAGATTCTGGGTTCATCCAAATCTCACAACAAAGAAGCAACAGAGAAAATTTGGTGGTTTGATTCATAACTGCATTATGACTGTTTTTGTACATATTTTAGGATGTCAGTGGAGCTGTCCAGACTCTTTTTGCAAAATTACACAGTTGATGTTAACAGCTGCATTAACAATACGTGAGCCTGAAAAAATTTTAACCCATCCGGTGTGTAAAGGCCTTAAAAGTTAAAAGCTTGCTTAGCCCTGCTGGCAGCACAAGGCTCTTCAATGGTCCTATCCTTAAACAGGATGAGATTTGCTACCTTTTGCCTATCTGCTTGTCCTGCAGGATCAGATTGGTCGTTAAGTTCATTGGCCACAGAACTGAAGAGTTGTCCAGCGACTTCTGGTGACAGCTGGCCTTCTGCCTTTAACTGATCCAAGATGTTCTCTATTGAGCTTAAGCTCAAAGTTGAATCCACAACCTGATGAGAAGAAAATATTTTCTCACAGTACTACAAAATCAGAGCATTTCCGTACTCTGGATCTTTTCTCGTCAGTACATGCATCCTATTTGTGGCATACCTGTGCAGTTATAGTGGTGCTGAGTACTGTTTGGCCTTCACCCGTTGCAGTTGCCAGTATATTCAGTTTGTAGTTAGAATTGCTGTCTCCGAGAGGAAGGAAGATGAATTTTACTTCATTGCTCTGACTGCATCGCAGAGTCTTACCTGATAAGGTTCAAACAAGAGAGTTTCTATCATTATTAGATTTCTAGTGAAATATACTCCATTGTGTTTGTAGCTAAATGAATATTATATTTCAGTATTGGATTATTAATCACACTACTAGCCAATCACATTATATGGTGCTACGATAATAGTAGCTGCATCCCTCACTTGCTCACCTGTCGCTGTACGCATTTGAGCCCTCTGTCACCTGACTTCCCTAGCTGTTACAGGTAGGAGTCATGTCACTACTGCCTCAGTCTGAATGGGCTACACTTTGGTTGAGTGGTGCTACTCGTGTTTTTGTGGAGATCACCTGTGGATTATTTCTCCGGAAGCCTTCCATCGATTTCTGGTATGTTATTTTGTGCCGTATGTTTATTGTTTTACTTGGTAGTAAATGCGTGTGTTTTTAGGCTGTAGCTGCAGAAGCCTCCTATTGGCCACGTTGTTTGCAAATTGGGCAACGCCGTTTGATCAGTAGCGGAAAGTGGGGTGAGTTGTGCCAGTTTTTACTTAGAGTGACTTTACAGTGAGGCCTTGAAAGGAATGCTTCTTTCTATAATATGTACATATATTTCAGGATCTAACTCATCCCTGGGATCAGTCACTTTGGATTGTTCTACAGTGCCACCCCCGTGTTTCTATGGATCTTTAGAAACACAACTTACCGCTGGGACAAATCGCCCCACATGTTAAAACAACGTGGAAAATAAATGCCACTGTTAAACTTAGTTACATCAGTGTCTTAAAAGATTTTGCTGATCCAGAAGTACTTACTCTGAGTGCTGAAACAATACTGACAGTTAGAGCAGGGATTTTCAGTATTGCAAGTTATATCAAAAGCATCAAGGATTGTTCCACTCTGTGGAGATATGCTACATGACAAGCCACTGGAGCCATCTCCATCCGTTCCGCAATCAGGTCCTCCCCCTCCCCCTTTTCCACAGTGGCCTTTGCAACAGTCTCCTCCCCCTTTTTCGCAGTTGCCTTTTCCGCAGTCGCCTTTGCAACAGTCTCCACCCCCTTTTTCGCAGTCGCCTTTTCCGCAGTCGCCTTTGCAACAGTCTTCTCCCCCTTTTCCACAGTCGCCTTTGCAACAGTCTTCTCCCCCTTT